TAGTTGTACAATTACTTTTACCAAACAGCTCTAGTCAATCAGCTAGCTACACATCTATCAGCTTTCAGCTACAATTTCAGAGCTTTCAGCTAGCTTAACAGCTTTCAGCTATAATCTCGCAGCTTTCAGCTAGTTTTACCAAACAGAACCAAAATCTTCAATATAGGAGATTTTATAATAACATACAATATTATAGTAGAATAATGATGTTTACGAGTCTCTTTTTATTCTTTTGCGTTCCTAGTAATAACATATATATGTTACTGTCATAAATAGTTCTTTTCCCATGCACACTTGTTATATCTAGTCTTTTTCAAGAAACGAACTGCAGCTTAGGTTTCAATGGTTAATAATAATTAAAACACAGTTGCAGATAAAACTAATTAACTAGAATTATATTGCACGTGAAACTTGAACTTATTGCCCTTGATAGGAACGTTATTTATAAATAAAGACAATTCCATAAATTTCGACTTTTGGTACTATGAACCCAGCTAATCTAATGAGAAAAGCTAAAACTTTTTATTAAATAAAATGTTAAATTTTGAATTCATCATATTTATCTCTTTCACCATCAACTATATATGAATAAAGTATCCCAAATAGATTCAATGACTATTTGGTTTGCTGTATCTGGACGCGTACGCGATTTGTTAGGTTAAATGATTACTATCAAACCAACTGAATAATAAAACCAAATAAAGAAAACTTAATTATGCTAGTTGACAAGACATGTTGCTAGCTATAGCTTTTCCTCATATTTAGCAAAGAATACAAAACATGAACCCATATAAATAAGAGGCCAGAGGGACCAAATTCTCTCCATGTAACCAATTAAATTGAAAATGAACACAACTCCTAGTTCCTTCTCTTCTTCTCTTCTCTACTCCAAGCTCCCCATAAACCCGACCCGTTATCATACCGGATCCAAGAGACTCTACCGCCGGAAGACCCCGTTGAGGGTCCGTTCAGTTTCAAAACCAGACGGATACGAGTACGGACATGATTACGGTCGCAGTTCGGTTGACGAGAACATGATAGTTCTACGGAAGCGGATCGAGGAGATGCGGGCGGTCGAAAGCATGGACCCGGATCCGCCTGAGGAGTGGACCGAGTGGGGGGAAGAGGACTGTTATGAGAGCTGTTACGGGTCGGATGTTTGCCAAGCAGTCGGGTTGGTCCAAATGCTTGCGATGAGCGTGAGGCCAGGCGTCGCCTTGGGATTGGTCGGTTTGATGCTTCTGAGTGTGCCAACTTCTGTGATTTTGTTTGGGTTTCATTTGGGCCAGGCCTTGAAGGTTCTTGTTAGCTGATATTTGTTTTAAGATGGAAGTTTGATATGGAAATTTTGATTTTTGACCAGTGGAATTTTTCTTGAAATTTCTAGTTATTGTTAGTGGCAACATTTCGTAGTGGGGTGATTAAATTTGATTTTGCTTTCGATATTGGAAGGATTTTTTTTTTAAATCATTAATTGTTTGTGTTGATGATTGTGGCCATCAATCTGTGATCATCATATAGAGGCATACTTGGCCTCAAGAGAGAAAGAAACGATATAGAGGCAATTAAGTACGGTCAGTATATAATATCAGTGCAATCATTAATATTGTATCGATACAATTGTGAACTATAAACCTATATCGAACGCTTATCACAGTCTTCTTACATATATGGATTTCTGTAGAGGGCCCTCTCATAGGATTGTTTCGCTCTAGAGAGGGGTAAAAGCTAAATTTTTTTGACAGATGTCTGTGAATAACATCATTTTATGTTAAATTAGTACGATATTTTCTGGTGTCAAGAGTATTCTCGGCATATAATTATTTTTCAACCAAACCACCCCAAAGTTTGCGTTGTCCGACAATACTCTTAAATTTTAAGATATTCCCAAATGACCCCAACGTCGTTGTTAATAGCTTAATCTTAAGAGTGATGTTTTGTTTTTGTTACAAAAATTATTAAAATAATTATTAGGAGGGTCTCGGGCAAAATCTTAGGGAAGTATTATGGACCACTTAAAGCTCGCTACGCGGTTTGGTGGGAAGAAAAAAAATATCAGGGGGTTAAGTACAATTTAACCATCTTTTTAGGGTAACACCCGTGAACTTTGTAGGATTTTGCAGAAAGCCTCATGAACTTTATAAATGAAGAAAAGCCCAAAGTTTTTGAGTTTGTACTGATACCTTCTAAAATATACGAATACAACATAAACAAGGTCAACTTCTTATTCTCAATACTGCAACATAGTTGATATTCTTAAATTTAGTTCCTCTAACTATTACACCAGAACTCCAAAAGGTGAGGGTCGAGAATTATAGTTTTATATTAATTCTAACGTGCCCCCGCAGGTTGAACACCCTTTTTTTATGGGCTAAAATCTGTAATCACGCAGTGGTGTCAATTTTTAGAAAATCCGCTTAAAATTCGTAGTCGGTGGGATTTGAACCTAGGTTTCTCTGATACCATCTTAAATTTAGTTCTTCTAACCATTACACCAAAACTCCAAAGTTATGATGAGGATCGAGAATTATAGTTTTATATTAATTCCAACAGTTACATCCTACTCCAACCTGAATGCTCATCATTCATTTTATTTTCGTTACAAGCTTTGCTTTGCCATAATTCAAATTATTGTTCTCACTAGCTAGTTAACATCATTTATGAGTTTGTGCGACAGTTCATAAGGGTTACCTATAGTTTTGAAAATTTTAGAGAGCATTTTCTAGTTTATAAAATGAATAGGGATTTTGTACAAAATCCTCCAAATTTAATCAGACTTGGTGAAATTTACCCATCCTTTTATTCAAAAGAAGGACATGGATACCTTTCTGAATACTTTTCTACACTTCACTGAAATGTCCATACATTGAACTTAATTAACTAAGATAAAATTTTCCAAGCTAGTAACTTAAACTCTAATAAAGGGTTGAAATCCTTGATGGATAACTTCTCATTTACTTTTATCATAAAATTACAGCTGGGGAATAACTTCCTTTACGCAATGGAACTGGATAGAGTCAAGCAATCGAGCTTCACATGGCAAGCTTGAAGCTTTTAAGTAAGGTGCATGAATCTATACCAATTCCAAACTTCAAATTGTTACCAACTTGGTCATTGTATTGTTCGATTCACACCCCCCCAATTGCATTCAACTTGTTAACTTATCCAATTTGCTTACTCAAGTTGTCATTTGAACTCGATTTTCGTATAAACTCAAGTTGTCAGCCTGCTCATTGTAATTTCATAGATCCAGAGGGTCGAGACATTCTGATCTAATGAAGTTATTGTTCAAATACGAGGAGTCATAACAACTCCGCAATTGTCAGCGTGTAAAAGGCAAAAATATGCGATTAAAAAACCGACCTTAATAAATTATACCGGTAAATCAACATCAATCGTTATATCGTCCTTTTAAAATAAATGATCCATAATACGACTAATTGTCCGGAATATGACTCCGCCTAGTTGAATTTGGCATCAAATAATATCGTGTTTTTTTTTTTTTTTTCTGGTTACTGTCACGTGACAACTGACTAGCACCCGAAGTCACGATATGTGCGGTGCGTAACTAATCTTATCCGCAGATATTCGCATCGCCCACTAATTAACACAGTGAATTAGTGGCGAACAAAGAATATTTGTACGTAATTTGCGTTCCTAAGTTCTGTGAAGAAACATATCTTGTTTCAGAGGTGCATGTACATGCTATCCAATCTGTGCATAGTGTTTGCGGAAGGCAACTGTTTTATTTGGCTCCGCAGTTCGTCATCTTCTTGATGAGCTACTTTTGGTGTAAAGCTAAACTTTTTACACACCTACAGTATTCTTCTTGTCGGATTCTAATCGTCTCCGAGTAGGTGATAATTGGGGAGGGTCCAATTATCATTACCGTTTATTCCAATTCCAAGAGACGGGATGTGGGCATGAAAGATTTTCACTGTTCACAAAAGTGATCTTCATATTAATAGTTTTCAAGACGATAATGGTCTTTTAGAGGGTGTTTGGGACAGCTTATTTTTTGGTTAAACAAATTATATTAAAAGTTAGCTTTTTTATTTCTACATGTTTGGTAAAATACAAAATAAGAAAGTTTATAGGTCATATTTTAAAAAGCTCGTATACCTCAGCTTTTGAAAAACTAACTTATAAGCTCACCTAAATAAGCTAGGTTTGACCAAACAAATTACTATACTATACAAACAATTTTTTATAGTATTTTTATCATAAAAGTCAAAAGCTACTAAAAACTAGCATAATTTATAAGCTTACAAGAATAAATCTTCCCAAACACCCTGTTAGATAATAATCAAATACTATGTGGACACATCATATCCTTTGAACTTTGAATAGATGGTAAATATCAGTATAATTAAATCCTCTCCAATTGCTACTGAATCTCTTCTCGTTAAAGGATGTCCTCCTTTGTGATTGCGGGTCTTTCATATTTGATGTCACATCCACCCACCTACCCACTCGTGCACACACGCACAATCTTTCTAAATAAAAAGGAATTTCCCTTATAAACCCATAGTTTTAGCCTCATTTACCTTGAGAACTCAGATAATTCTACATGTTCTTATGTACCCAAAATACAAATTTTACTTAACAAAGCATAGAATGTGTAACTACAATTCTATATTATATAGCTTGGCACTTTATATTCTATACTTGGGTTTGAAGGTAAGTAAACTTTGAGTACTCATCCTATCAAGGCTGCCCACATGCAACAAGCAAGCAGATAATTCTGACCCTACGATAGAAATAAAAGTAGGGTAAATTGAAAGTCTACCTCATAATTTATAGTCATAACTGCACCCTTGCATGTGGTTCTGATAGGAAGTGCAGTCGTAAACTTTGCATTTTGGATGTATGAGAACAAGTAGTGCAAAGTGGTTTTAAAGCAAATGGGAGTAGAACTTTGGGTTTATAAGCAAAAACCCAGAAATACAAATTCTTTTTTTTATACACAGCAGGGATCCTCATTTAGTATGAAGTCTGTGGGAACAACAACGGCAAATCGTATTACACTCTCTAGGGAACTCCATAAACTTGTTGCATGTGTGAAAGATATTGCTCTTTGAAAACTTGTACGGACATACACAACACAACACAAGACAATCATCTTGATCTTCACCAAAAACATGAGGTATTAATAAATGAAAAAGAAAATTCATTTTACTTTTCCACAATTTCGTTACAATTTTTAGGGACGTCACCAACGCAAAACCTTCAACCAAAAAGATATAGCAGTCGGCAATCTGTCATGCCTCAGGGAATTGATGCCTTGGTTGTAGTGTGCAGGAGATCAAAATGCAATTTCTTTACAATAAAAGGCCCATTTCACCTTCATTTATCAGTCTCTGAATGATCAACGTTTACACTTGCCGGGTCCCTTGAATATGTTCTCCTTGTAATATTTCAGCTCCATTATGCTTTCTTTGATATCATCCATTGCTCTATGGTTTTTCTCCTTAGTAGGCGCCTGTTTCCTTTCTGTTAAAGGAAAGGAATAAGAGGTGAGAGAGGTTCAGTGCCTTATAATGATGGCCTATTTTAGATTTTTTTTTTTAAACGCATTATGTAAAAAAGAAAAATATATATATATCTTTCTTGCATATTAAGATATTTGAAACAAGCATAGCACCATTCTGGCTTATTCAGATATATAAGTATGAAAAGATTTGAGTTTTGCATTTATGACTTCTGTAGAAACAAAGATTTCGAAATTTAGGCTAAGTATAAAAAATAATAACAAAATAGGCTGCAGCACACTAACATGGGCTAGATTCACATCAAGAAAAGTATAGTTTGTTCGTTCATACACAGATGAATGTTACCATTATAGAACCAACACACAGGTGTATTAACAGCAGTTCTTTCCTTGAGGTATGAACTATGAAGGTGTTCTTTAGTAACTGTGCCCAAGGGCCTAAGAAATGCAATAATAATGTTCATAAAGCTTTTATCAGAAAAGTTTTAAAATCAGAGAGACCAGCACCTAATCTAACGGGGCTTGTAAATACAATTATAAACAGTCAATCTGTAATAAATATATATCTGCAATGTTGATAAAGCTTTCATTAAGGAAAAAATATACATTCAAGGAGATGCATTACCTCTAGGAAACCAACGAGCACATAAAGCTGAAATGCTGCTAACATCAACCAATACATGAGGAAAGATGGCAGCCAAAGTTGGCATATACTTCTGTGAAGAAAGCACAAGTAACAAATCAACAACTATAGAGTAGATAACAGAAATCTACATACTTCTGAATGAAAAGTCATAATTATGATGCGTAAGAGATGGACAGGAAACAGTATGATGACTCCATAAGAAAACAGTAATGAGATGAGCTAGAGAACAATGCTTTACACAAACAACAATGCCGGGTAGGCACTTGTTCAGATGAATGACATACAAATAAATGGAAACGAAGAGACACGGCAATGCTCCACCCTTAAACCCTCTCAGGGATATTTAGAAATATGATTACAGTTTTCAATACTGCTCAAATTGGCTATCCTCAATGATAAAGCTTTAAGAAAAACTAGTTCAGACATGTATAACAATTTGCAATAAGCTAATCCAATGCTTGAAAAAGACTGTGATTTGTTCCAAATAATCTCCAAAAAGGGGGCAAAAACTTATCTACCACACCATTTAATTCTTAATTTTAGATGCATGTGATAATGCCATAATGTTGTAGTAGTGACCTTACACTCCTTTTGTGCTACTACAAATCTGTTACCATAAATAAATTTTAGTAGTATCTCTATTCTTCAAACTATAGAAAAAAGTAAAATGAAACAGAATTAACTTGTTACAAGTGCCAGGAGCAAAGAATAAATAAAGAATGAGCAATACTTTCTACTAACCTTTAGAAACAACAGATCCATATACACAGAATTTCCAGCAAGAAGTGCTTTATCTGAGCCAACATGCTTCTTGACAAATTCTATAACCTGCCAAGTTAAATGTTAATTTAGAAAAATAGAAACAAACAAAGCTCCGAATAAGATAATAAATATAACAATCCACATGATAAATTGTACATCCTTGATAAATTAATGGATGCTAATAAATATAAACAGGGAGAGAAGGAAGCAACATCAAATTGTAATAACATAACACAATACATAACTAACAAAATCAGCATACAATTATAATGATATACCAAAAAATTAACGAGCCAGCAACAGTGGCAGATATAGGATTTTATTCCAGTGGTGTCCTTACAAAACTTATTAGTTCATTAAAGTAGGCAATCCCTAGATTATCATCCCCTGTGGACCTGTGGTGTCCTACCTTAATTAGCAGTGTCCTAAGTAGTAAACACATGTAAAAATAAGTATAAATGTCTACAAAGTAGGCAATGTGACACTATGAAGCGCCACCACTGACCAGATAAGACAATTAAGTTATATTCTTAAAAAATGTGGATTCCACCAACATCTCTAATTCCAACACGTTAAAAGGTTTCATTAGAAAACTTCGTTAGCAATCAGTTATCACAAATTTTGAAAATGGAAGTATCAGTCACTTTATAGGAAAAATATCCACTGTACCTGTTTCTCTGCATCTCTCTCGGTAATCGTGCTCTGAAGAACCTTCTTCGTCAATCCTAAAATATAACCAGAAAGTGATGTCAATCTTTGCACTCAGAAAGGAGAAAGTAAGTATGATGATTGCTATAAATAAAGAAAATAATAAAAATCTGATGTACCACTAGCTCCATGATGCTCACGACACCATTCATTCATGTTATCAAGACATTCTTTTGGCGGCGTAATAACCCAATCTGCGGCCCTGAATGTGGGGGGGGCGGGGGGTGTTCTAAAGATGTCTTAGCGCGAAGGGGCAGTACAATCCGCTGGACTGAAGAGGATCCGGACTGGAGCAGCCTTGTTTATTCAGCGCCACTATCAGAGAACAGTGTCAGTGCCTACTTCTGATTCAAGAAGGCCTAAACTGAGTATATAATTGGCCAACAGAATTTGTAGCTACTAGCATTTTAAAGATAAGAAATGTTCCAAATGCCAACTTACATAAGCAATCAGTTCCTTTAACAAAGTAAGTCCAATATCGAAATGATGACCTTAATTGTCAATCTAAGAACAAAATGAATATCAATATAATATACCACTATATGCTTCATATCAGCTCCACTCACATCTCTAATGATAAGTCATTCCACAGGAAAATTAATTCTGTTCATGTTGACACGTGTTATTGAGAATGTAAAACTAAAAATGGATGTACCTAAGTTTTCTATTGATGCATCGACTATCAGAAGATGGCTACAGAAATTAGAACGTTTATGTGATAGACAGTTCGCTGCATATACATTGTTAATAAACCCATAGACCAATTTTTGTTAGGTTAAAAACATTAGAGTCTATAACTTGAAACAAGTTGCTACTCTCGACATCTACTTAGTGCTTACTTCATACAGGACAAGTGAATATAAACTAAATCGAATCGTTTTAGTTTTATGCACTTCCAATAATATACATCAAGCTGAGTGATGCAGCACAAAATAGATTTAAATTTTTTGGAATTAGGATTGGGAAAACATGTTAGTGTTTTAGTTTTTTCTTGGGATTTTAATGTCAGTTAGTAGTTCAATCATTGCTAGGATTAGTTGGAATTTTATTGATGTTGTCTTTTAGTTAGAATTTTATCTATTTATCTTTTTAGGATTTTGTTTTCTCTTAGTTTATCCTATAAAAAGGATTGTTCTTCTTCATTTTAAGGAGATGGAAGATTTGATATGAATAAAAATTTGAATTTGAGAGATGAGAATGATTCCTTCTAGGCGTGAACCTATTATTTCTAGTAGGCATGTGATATGCTAGGTGTGAAGTCAAATCTGGTTAGGTGCTGCGTGTGAAACCAGTCAAACCCCCAATTTGTCTTTCTTTTTTTTCTTTAGTTTTCAGATTAATATCTACAATCAAAGTTGACCGCATCCGACCCGCATCAATTGGCATCAGAGCTGAAGAGAACCTCGTTGCAGCTTCAACATAGACACTGTCAAATTCAATGTCAAGAATGATATTCAAAGTAAACTCGAGGTCGAGTTTTCTTCAACCGCGAGAGATTTGATGCAGCACAAAATAGAGCAATTTTTAGAGTTAAGATTAGGAAACCTTTTTAGGATTTTAATCTTTTCCAGGGATTTTCATTTCAGCTAGTTTTACCATTATTCTCATGCCTCATTTGGTACGCGAGAATGACATGGAATGAAATGGTCATTCCCACTTCTCATTTCCCTCATTAAACATAACATTTTTTTAGAAGTTGGAATGCTCATTCCCAGGGAATGCCCGTTCCTAAGAAATGCTCATTCTCAATGAATTGATAAGGAATGGTCATTCCCATTCAAGTGTGAATCAAATTAGTTACGTGATTTTCAATTATATTCCCATTGATAACAGAAATAAATCTACACATCCAGTCCCATTGACTATGTATTAGCGCATCTCAACAAATCATGTTTTTCTCCTCTTTTTTTACGCTTCGCTGAAATAAATCTAAATTGGCCTCACCTCTAAACAATGGCAAATTCATTTCGGCACATCACCTTTGCCTCGCCTTGCCTCAAGTCACGCCTACCAACTGGCAACCAGAGGTAGTCAAATCATCACCGACGCTAAGTAATTCCTGAACTTTTTCTATCATAATCAACTAATTGTTTTAGGGATTTTCAAATTGTCATTAATTTTTCATTGTTAAAGATCATTATAAGTTGAAACAATTTTCATAAGGTTTGATGTCTTCTCGAATCATGTATTTAGAATTTTTTTTTACAAATAAGTCTACGCCCAAAGTATTTAAATGCAGTAGTTATCTTTTTTTTATACCTCGTGCATACAATCTCCTGTGTGCTTGATCATGCAATTAGATTCATTTTCTAGTTTAAAACTTGGTCTGATCCCATATACCTTGCCTACATCACATGAAACTTAGGTGTAAAGTGTTCAAATGTTTTTGGAGTATCTAAATGGGAACAAAGGATGTAATCTTAGAATTGTATGTGATTTCTTTCGACTTTATTAGTACCAGTATCATGAATTTTGATGGTCTCAGTCAATGTTACATTAAACGTTGGGCGCTTCTAGACGTCGGACTTGGCGCCCAGCGCTTAGTCGTCTAGACGGGCGGACGCCTAAACGGTTTCTGGGCGTTTTTTTTCTTTTTTCTTTTTTTAATTGTGATACTTGAAGATAAATATATATATACTCAATCAAAGATGCGTAAATACTAAAATACCAACACTATTAACTAAATTGCTTGGTTTACCAATTATAATAGCTCTTTGTATGTTTATACTTCTCAACTCAAATTATAAGTTCATCTCAACTCAAATTACAATATATATTACATTCATATAAATTTTTTAAAAAAAAGATAATAATTTTAGTTCCACAATAAATCATGCATAATTGCATACTTAGATACTAAATAGCCAAAATAATAATTAACAATGCTAGAGCCTAAGATATTTTCTTTTTTATTTTTAATTATAATAATTGATAGTGAATGTCAATGTTACAGAAAACTTAGATGTCGGACTGGAGTCTAGGTGGATTTCTTTCTTCATTTAAGTGGTGGTCGATGAGGTTTTGTTGAAGGTCGGAGGTAGTGAAGGTGTTCATATTTAGAGGTTAATGACGTTTGGAGGACGTGTAGGCTACAACACATAAAATCACAACTAAGGCCTACAGGGTACAATCCCCGTAAGCAGACAATGCTCCCATAAACGCTCAAAAAATCTAGGTGCGTAGCCTAAATACCGCCTAGACGCTAGGCGCTAGTTAGACGGCCTAGGTACCGCTTAGGCCTAGGCGAACGCTTAAGCGGACTAGGCGGAGGTTTTTTAAAACAGTGGACTCTCAGTATCTCTACTTGGTATTGTCATATAGAATTAGTCAACTTACTCACAAGCTTTCCTGTCACTATATTCTTTTTAACTTTTTTTTCCTTCTGCTCATCATATGATTATCAAATCAAATAATGGTACTTCAAATCTTGGATATACTCTTATTTATCGGTCGTTATAAGCTAGTATTAGCTTTGTATTATTTGTTCTTAGCTAATATCTACAGTTTTGGGTTTGATTTTGCATTGTTCCCCTTGCAATCTAAAATTTAATTTCGACTGAAAGTGAAACTCTATAACTAGCAAATACAATGAATCATACAAAGGTTTTCGTTGAATCAACTAAAATTGGAATTTCAGTGAACTTTTTTCCCTTCAGTCTTTGAGCAAAAAGTGTCAGAATAGGATGGATAACTATTGGTATTTTGATTCATTTATATGTCAATAAACAAGGTTGTGAATAACCTTATTTTATTTATAATAGTTAATTAATTAAAATATTGTTATTAAGAATTCTCATTAAGAGATTATATAAATTGTTTACATTCTAAAATGAATATACTCCTTTACACTTATACAGTCAAGATATTTCATATTATAGATTATGTTTGCCAACAGAAAAAATTGAAGAAGTTGGTGGCTATCCAAGCACATATGAGGAATGCACAAAGTGTAGTGGCATGGTGGTTCCTTTTTTCATCTCATATAATGAAAATTTACATTGAAAAAAAAACAATAAGAGAGCGATATTTGGTAGATTTTTATTCTAAAAGAAAAATTGTGTATTGTCTAGCATATGCGAGTGAAGTAACTTGTTATGATCAGCCTAGAATGTATAGGAGCTCTTTTAGGAAGTTATGCACTATGCTACAAAATGTAGGGCTAAATGATACAAAAAAACATGTTGGTAGACGAACAAATAGCAATGTTTCTACATATCCTCGCCCATGTGAAAATCAAGGTCATAAAACAAATGTTCCAACGTTCAGAGAAAACTATTAGTCAGCAATTTACTCATGAGTTGCATACCGTGAAATCTACATGATATTGATTAACAAACCCGATCAGTGCTGACAGATTCAATAGATGCAAGATGGAAATGGTTTAAGATAATTTATAATATAAGTATCATTTGTATTTCTCAATTTTTATAAGTAATCTAACACATTCAATTTTCACTAACGTCTAGGATTGTCTTGGAGCTTTATATGGGACTTACATAAGGGTGTGGGTAGCCGTGGAGGAAAAACCTAAGTATCGAACACAAAATGGTGAAATTGCAACAAATATTTTGGGTGTATGTTCTCAAGACATGCAGTTCATTTATATACTACTCGGTTGGAAAGGGTCAGTTGCTGATAGTAGAGTCCTTCACGAATCAATAATTAGAAGAAATGGATTAAAAGTCCAACATTGTACGTTACTTACAATTTATATTTTATTCAGGTTTATTAATCAACTCCATCAATATTCAGTTAAATACATTTTTAACATGTCCAATCGTAGGTTACTATTATCTAATTGATGCTGAATGCACAAATTGTGAAGGTTTTCTTGCCCCATACAAAGGTCAATGATACCACTTGAATGAATGGAGAAATGAGCACCAACCTACAACTATGCCAGAGTTTTTCAACATGAAGAGTGCATCAGCTAGGGATGTTACTGAGAGATGTTTTGGATTGCTTAAACTAAGATGAGGATCCTATGTAGTCCTTCATTTTACCCTATAAAGACCCAACATCGAATAATCATAGCATGTTATCTTCTATATTATATAAGAGAAATAGAGATTGACCCATTTTAAGAGCGTCTTGATGTCATAAAGGAAACAACTCAAGTGGCTAATAATGATTCAATTACCAATTGAAACTACAATGGCTTGGACTTCATGGTGAAATAATCTTGCAAATTTGATGTAACCAGCGGATAGCGCAAGAGGAGTAACTTGTCAGAGGATATCATTGATGATGCACCGTTAGTTCTATTTTATTACTTATTAGTTAGTATTCAAGTCATGATGTTTTTAAATTGTTTGACGTTGTTTAATTAGAATTAACATTATTATGCTTATTTTTTGTTATTAGACTCAGTTAAGTCATCTTTAATATACATGAATCTCGTAAATCATTTGGGATTAAGAACTGCCATGAATTTATATTGTTATATACAAATAACTGCAAATATGAAAAAAAATTGTCAATTTCTATTTACAAGTTAAAAGTTCATTATACTTGTTGCAAACAAAAAGATATGCTTACTTTCATTAATCACCAAAGCAATACTTATTAAAAACTATTATGATGATGTAAATTTGAATGTTATTATATGTGTTATAAACTATTCAGGAATGGATCAAAAAGATCAACGAGGACCTCGAAAGAATAAGCGAACATGGATGGTTGAGGAAGATCAGAAGTTTGTGGATGCATTGTTGAGTTACACCAAACTAAAAAGTACAATTCTAATCGTGGTTTCAAGCCTGGACACTATAATGCTGTTGAAAGATTATTCGCTATTTCACTGCCCAATTCAGGGTTAAAGGCTGACCCACATATCATATCAAAGATGAAAACGGTTAAGACACAATTCAATATTGTATTTGATATACTCAACTGTGATGGTTTTTGACGGGACAAATGAACCAATGTGTAATTGCTGAAAAAGCGGTATGGGATGAATATTTAAAGGTATTCAATTAATCAAATTTTAATTTGTCGTGTTAATTTTAGTATATCCAGTATCTTCTTAGTCTATGACTATTGATTTTTTAAATAAATTTAATTGTAGGCCCACAAAAATGCTACAAAATTTAAAGAGAAAGCTTTTCCATGCTTTAATATATTTCTATTGTGTTTGGTAAGCATCGAGCGACAAGAAAGGGAATGGAACACCCATATGATGTTATAGCAGAACTTGATTGGGAGGTTGGTCGTGATACTGATGTTGATGATATACTTGAGTTACATTCTCAAGAGGTAACATCCGAGGACACAACTGAAGTTTCCTCCAAACATAAAAAGAAGAAACAACTATCGGGGGATAGCGACTCATTTGAGATAATGAGGGAAGTTGCATATGTCAGAAGTGAACTTTTTAGGTCTAGCTGATTAATTAAGGATGGATTAGACGAAGTGTCTTTGACTGAGAAGAGAAAGAGAATTACTGAATACATAACGAGTATGAAGTTATCCATGGAGCAACGTTTAACAGCAATAGGGCGATTGGTATTAATCGTGATTTGATGGATTTGTTCTTCACCCTCGGTGATGACTTGGAGAATATATGGGTGAGGCGATATGCGAGTGGGCAATTTAAGATTGGCAATTTAGGCTAGTTTATCAATTTGCTATTTTGGAACTTATTATTTTGATAATTGGTAGGTTTTTAAGTATTTAGTGGGTATTGTTTTATGGATATTTTGATTATGATATGAGTGATTTTGATAATTTGTCATATGATTTATTTTATACAACTAGAACTCTGGAATGTGGATATCATCTTTTATATTAATTTTGGACATATGAAAGATGTAGTACACTTTTATTTATTTTTCCTTAATTTTTTTAAGACAAGGAAATAGTAAGTATTTCACAAAAAATATAAACGAAACATACACCTAAGAGATAACCTGAGCATTAATATAACACACGCCAGACTCAAGCATGTATGGATAGATTGATATTCACCTTATTAATAATCAAGAGCGAATGAAAGAAAACAACAAGTGTAAACTACTAACTAGCATAGTAAAACATATTGCTTATTGATAAATAATTAAAAAGATATTGACCATTGAAGATTTTATTCTGCTCTGAATCAAGAGTAAACTACTTACTAGCATAGTAAAACATATTGCTTATGGATAAATAATTAAAGAGATACTAAGCACTAAAGCTTTTATTCTGCTCCAAGTCAAGAACCTCCAGCGAGGCAGATGTTGGATCCCCACAGACATCAGAACCAGTCTTATCAATTTCATAGAGCGACATAACCGGATTACTAACATGGATATGTATGAACAATTGATTTTGATGTTTTTTCTTGGACTTGCAGATACATGGAAATTGATTCTAAGATAGAAACACGAAATATTAACTATTTTTATAAAGTTTATTTTTTTAAAATGAAATTGTTTAGCTATTACCATTAATGTTTATTTTTATCTTTTTAAAATTTTATATTGTTATAAGGGCATTATTAGAAAATAAATTTTTATTTTCATTTGTGAATTAATGGTACCAAACATGGGAATGGGAAAGGGATTTTTATTCTCGCTTCATTCTACAAGCGCACCAAACATGAGAACGGGAATAAGCATTCCAGTCCTTCTTCCATTCCATTCTCATTTGAGTCCATTCTCGCGTACCAAACGAGGCGTTAGGATTAGTTGGAATTGTCTTTGATGTTATCTTTTAGATAGAATTTTATTTGTTCTTTAGCTTTTTAGGAGTTTGTTTGCTCTTTGTTTGTTCTAATAAAAAGATTGTTCTTATTTTAAGAAGATCGAGATTTGATATGAATAAAAATTTGAATTAGAGAGATGAAAGTGAATCATTCTAGGCATGAAATTGTCTCCAGTAAGCATGCAATGTGCTAGGCATGAAGTCAAATTCAGCTAGGTGTTTCATGTGAAACCAGCATAACCCCAATTTATCTTCTTCTTTTTTCCTTTAGTATTTCATATTCAGATCTACAATCAAAGTTAATCGTCTCTATTTCGGATCATTGAGTCATCTGACATTTCGGTTTTTGGTTCTTCTAACGTTGAAATTTGAGTTTAAGGAAATGCTACCGATTAAGGATGTAAAAAGATTCAGATAATTCAAACTGGACGTGCATTTGCATCCTCCTAGATACAAGTATGGATATCAAATACTCTGCGCTTAATTTGAACTACTTCAAAGTCGGTTCTGGATTAAAATGGAAATTCTGGATGAAGTTCTTTCTTTCCTCTTCATTTGTTTTTGTTCTTTTTTTTATTTATTTTTTATTTTTTCGTGGATTTGGCATGCCGGTACCATCTTCATAGATCCAAGAGTTGTCTGTCCTGCCCATTATTCAACCAAACCTGATATTGTAATTAGATAATCACATGATATTCCTTCTTGGCTTCATTACATATGCCTTCCCAGATGCCCGACCCGTTCTCTTTCATAAAACACTCAACACCAAATAGTTAGTCCAAACTTAAGGGCCGCTGATGTACTGTGTATCAGCAACCAGATAAGATGCTGAGGAAAGATGATGATGGCAGAAATGACTAGGCTCGACTAAAGTTTGACAAGGCATGCATTGCAAAACGAGATTCAAACTTTAAACTCATCTAATAACCATAGTAACTATACCCCATCCCTTTGACCAATTTAGCTCATAATTAGGATCATTCGGATCAGATTTCTTTGTTATGTTCTCAATTGTTATTACTGTATTGGTACCTAAGCATCACAAGATGTATATGCACCAGCTAAGCTATGGAAAGCTATCCAGGGCCAAGTTTCCCGCTAAATTAGAATCTGCATCTAAATTATAACCATTAAACCTGTTACCTATATGACCATGATTAAAAGAAAATACAAATCAGAAACTATATAGGCACAACTCTATACCAATATATTTCGGCAAATAGGAACATGGGATTTACATAACCAACATTTACTTAAAAGTTAGAGGGACCAAATATATGTAAAATGTTCTTATTCCCAACGAGCCTCCATAGAAGTAGTTCAGAATCTTATTACTTGTTAGGCAAACAAATGCAAACATAACTACTAACTAATATGAATGGACGTTTGGATTAAACATCACATACATAGTCCAGCACCTAGAACATCTGCATATAAAAAGTGAATATTTGATAACACAAAAAAAAAGGACAACATAAGAAGAAAAAAGGTCACCTCCACTGATTTGGTTAATTTTCCATCCGTTACAACACAAGCAATCTCCAATATCCGGTCCACTCCAACATCTAAACCTGTTTGTAGAAATAGGATAAAAAAGGCATTAGATAAACTGGTAACCACAACAACACTTAGAAATTAGAAAATTGTCTAAGAAAAAAAAGTAGCGAACAAAATATTTGGTGTATTGAAAAAAATATTAAAAAAATTCATTTTAAATCATAAAAAAAGATGATATCAACATAAGTCCTTGAAACTGCAAAAGGAAAAAATTTCACAGCAGATTACTTTTTAGGGTTTAGTAGAGGAATGGGTGAATAATACATGAGATGACATCCATTAGTGTTCTAAGCCAAACTCAAACATCCATATCAGTTTATACCTATGAAGCATGGAGGCATCAATTTTAATATTTAAATATGTGTCATTCTAGTATTTGTTTTATGTCATTACATTGTGCCATTCCCAAGTCAGCATGCCAATTTCCATGCTCCTTAAGTATAAACAATTACCACAGGTGGATTTGCATTATATATGTGAATATAGGGTATGTCGTTGTTGTCTTGAGCGCCACACTCTTAATCAAACAATCGCACAGAGTGAGATCATTTGTCTGTATTTTCCATGTAGTAAATTAGTAATTGTTACTTCCATACTCTGTTCTCTACTTTGCATCTTTAATATTCTTATCAATATCTTGCATGGGTACATCTATCATGAAGATGTATCCATACCCCACACTTCTTGGACACCTCTTGAATATCTGCATACATATTTAGACGTGTACTCAATTATATAATACATATTTCAGTTTTAAAAAAACTCATTATACACTTCTTGGATGTATATTCTCCACTTTCCAGCCCATATTCAGTTCAGAAATAAGAATATGAGTTCAGCCCATGTATTTCAGTTGTATCCCTCTACCCTACCTTTTACAAATTTGCCGTGTCCGATACCCGCACACGTGCCCATGTCCATGCAACTTAGTTCTCAGTAAATTCAGATTACTTTGACCTAACATATATCTAGTTAAGACTTCTAAGACTATACTATAGAATAATCAAACATTATTGTTTGCGGTGAAAGTTGTTGTTTTCATTGCTATCGAATCTATTACAACTTTAGTCATTACAATAAACTCGAATAAAATAAAAAGTTGATCTTTTTATAAGATCTCCTTACACAATGAAAATAAAACAAGTTTACAACTTTGTCAAACAAACGCAGGGAGATCGTTTATCGATCTTCTGCTTGCGTGGGTGTCTTTGCCTGTGCCGGGGTTTATCCGTGGACCACCGTCGATCAGATCTGATTGCTGAAAAATTAGACAGAGCTTCGTCTATCCGCGAAGGGATCGAGAAAACTGTAGCTCTTATCTCGGCGAAGCGAGATAATCACTCTTCTTAAGATTACCGCAACGGGATAATCCTAAGAAACGGATACGAGAAATTGTAGATCTGGCGAATCTCTCTCTCTTGCGTTGAAGAACTAGATCCGATCTCTCCTCCTCCTCTCTGAAATTCGTGCACCTTCAGTCTTCAATCCGGCAGGGCTTCGCCTAATCTCCAAAATTTCAGATCTTGAAAAATGAGGGCCTGAGGCTTATATTTATAGGCCTGGGGGAGTTTGGCGCGGTTAAAACCACCTAAAGGCCTAAATCTACGTTAGAGACACCACAGGGTGTCTCCATTTGATCCGAGACACCCTAGGGTGTCTCCCCTTGATCCGAGACACCCTAGGGTGTCTCGGCCTTGGCCGAGACACCTTGGGGTGTCTCGCTTGGCCGAGACACCTCGAAGTGTTGAGACGCCGCTTTTTTTGTATGTTTGTTCGTTTCCACCATAACTTCCTCGTCCGAACTCGGATTTGAGTGGTTCGAAGTGCGTTGGAAAGCCGACAAGGAGTTCTATCAGCTCCAATGGTTGGATCATCTGTAGAATGAATGCGACACGAAGGGTATTGTTCTTTTTTTTTGTAAACATCGTGGGGCTCCCGATTAGCCCGTACCTTCGTTATTCCGAAATTCTGTCGGCTCACGTAGTTCGTCGATTCACTTCAAGCGTTAGCTTCAACTCTTGGCTCCTTCGATTTTCGGTCTATTCGATGCTTTGACGAATAACTGAAGTTCTTCCGGCGCTGCGTTTATCGCCTGGCCGTCGTCGGAGTCTCGAGTCTACCACCAGTGAGTTGAGTTTGGCTCGTGTCATTGAGTTGACTTTGAACTGACTATCTCTGTCACACTGTACTGACTTAGGATTTCAGATCACCGTATGTTGACTTTTTGTCGCAACGTGTTGAGTGGCGTTGACCTAGGGTTACACGTTGACCGGCGTTGACCCTAGGGTTTCGAACGTCGAACGTTGACTTTTTGGTCGCAACGCGTTGACTGGTGTTGACCTAGGGTTACGCTTTGACCGGCGTTGACCCTAGGGTTTCGAAAGTCGAATGTTGACTTTTTGGTCGCAACGCGTTGACTGGCGTTGACCTAGGGTTACGCGTTGACCGGCGTTGACCTAGGGTTTCGGATCGCCATTAACACAGTTTATACTCGTGCATTTGCTGGAGTATACACAGTTTAAGCTCTTAAGGTATTGGAGCGTGACGGTCCTAAATGTCGGAGTTGCAGAACCAACTATGAAAGTTGATTCCTCTGCACGTGTGGATCTTATCCCTAAGTGATTGGATGTTCGAGTCACGAGACCAACTGACGGAGCTGATGCGTCAATGACTCGTGTTTATAGAATTTTTGGTAAATTCTCAGCCATCAACGGGTTTGATGAACCTTTACCGACTACCGTTTGAGTCGGGCTAGCATGCGGATTCTTTAAGTCCGTTTCGCATGTGACGTTAGGCTAAAAGAGTTAACCCTTTCAGTGCTACGATGTTGAATACGTAGACTTTGTCTTTCTCCTGTGAAAAGACTAAACAGCAACGTGTATCAGACGTTGACTTAGGATTTTTGGCAAATCCTTCGCCATCAACGGGTTTGATATGCCTTTACCGACTACCGTTCAAGTCGGGCTAGCAAGCGGATTGTTTACATCCGTTCCGAATGCGACGTTGTGCTAAAGGAATGAACTCCCTTAGACTTGATGCTACGACTTCGAATACGTAGACTTCGTCATTGTTACGGGAACAGGCTACCCGGTAACGCGTGTTAGGCGCTGACTTATCCTTACTTAGGATTCAGGATAAAAGTCCCCAGACTCGGATTCTGGTGTCTTCTTCAACCGGTAAAAGACTAAACCGGCAACGCGTGTTAGGCGTTGGCTTATCCCTGCTTAGGCTTCGGGATAAAATACCCCATGCGTGTGAGGCACGGATTATGATGTTATTAATAACAACCTGTCATAATATTAAATATGTGGGCTTTTGTCCTTTTTACGGTCAAAGACTAACCGGCAATGCGTGTTAGACATAGACTTTGGGATTTTTAGCAAACCCCCAGCCATCAACGGGTTTGATGTGCCTTTACCGATTACCGTTTGAATCGGGCTAGCATGTGAATTATTAAAACCCGTTTCATATGTAACGTTGTGCTAAGAGAATTGCTTCTCTTAGACTTAATGTTATGATTTTGAATACATAGACTTCGCCATTTCTTACGGGAATATGACATCCGGTAACGCGTATTAGGCGTTGACTCATCCCTACTTAGGATTCGGGATGAAAGTCCCCAGAATTGTACTCTGGTGTCTTTTTCAATCGGTGAAAGACTAAACCGGCAACGCGTGTTAAGCGTAGGCTTATCTCTATTTAGGAGTTGAGATAAAATTACCCGTGCATGGAATGTACGGATTTAAAATCAAAATTTGTGTCTTTTCTCAGGGTAAAGACGAACCCAAAATGAAAGAGGAAGAATTTTATATTCTATCTCCCGGCACTGAAAAGGAAGAATTTTATATTCTATCTCCAGTTGGAAAGGAAACTCAAGGTGGGATCTCCACCCCCAGAATCCGAAATGATGAAACTAAGAGTGGGATCTCCACTCCGAGAATCGGAAAGATTCAAACGACCCTAACTTTTATAGGATTGGTCATTCGATCCAAAAGAGAGTCCCTCATTTATTGAGGGGAAATTCCGATTTCGACCCTAACTTTTATAGGTTTGGCTGAAAAAGGAAAAGATGGAAGTCTTTCGTTTATTAAAAAAGAATGACTCGGTCTTAGTCTCAGCTATGTGTAGGTTTGACTAAGTGAGATTGGGAACAATCCTAACTTTTATAGGTTTGATTGCTCAATTTTTAAAAGTGGATCTCTCGTTCATGGAAGGAATCGAGAGGGGACTTTGGTTGTGGCCCTAACTATACGAAGGTTTGACCAGGTAGACAGTGAAAGTGGGAATACAAATCATAGTGGGGATTTAGTGTTTATCACTTTGTTCGTAATTATTGGGTTATCCCTAAGAAAATTACATATAGCGTTCTTCCGGGAACTTCCCATTACATGAATCATCCACCACCAGCTTCTTTCTTAGAACTGGGTCTGACTTTGTACTCCGTTACATGTCCGGGTTATCCTTAAGAATATTAGTGTAACATTCTCCAGAAACTTCCCATCAACGGTAGAAAACAGTTTAGACTCATATACCTATTGGAGTATCAGTGAGCAGTTTAACCTCATATACCGATTGGAGGATTGAGAAGCAGTTTATACTCGTATACTCTTCGGAGTATTAAGAAGCAGTTTATACTCGTATACTTATCGGAGTATTGCCGTTCTCGTTTGGCTTATCCTAGCGTTATGACGCCGGCTTCAACCAAGGTCTGTATGCTATTCTTTAAAGTAAAGCAAGCCTTGGTGGGATGAAGGATTCTCCTGTGGTACGCGCAGTACTTCGGATCCGCAGTATTGTCAGCTTCCTCCTGATTCGTGATGAGTGGCAGCTTGATCTTATTGTTTTCGAGAAGGGTCTCGAAGATGGCTGGAATGTCTTCGTCCTTGAATGAGTACTCTTTTTGGAGCCTCGGATCCGAAGTCTTCTGCTGTCTTCGGGACTGCTGTTGTGACGTCTGATTAACGTCAACAACTGTTGTAGGTGTCTTCCCTTCATTATGGGAAACGAGACCCGG